AGATACAGATAAATCTTGAATAAACACTGAAGTTAACATAATCTAACATGTAGACTGGCAATTTATACCCCGATTTTCTATATTCCAACCTATTATTACGTTAGCTAACAAATTAAATTTCAATGTGCTCCAACTGAAAACAAAAAGTTATTGATCTATGAAAAGTTTTATTTTCAGTTTTTTTATAACTATCAAAATTAAATGAGAATAATATATATGAAACAGAAAATGAGGTCAGTTACACTCATCAATACAATATTTCATTTACAAAATATGATTCACTTGAACAGATAGACACATATACGTATGTTATTAATTTTTTAGTGTTAAAGAGTTTGAAATAAATATATATTATTCAAATATGTTGTGATTTTCCTGTTTCTCAGCTCTAACATTTATTAAAATTTATAGCCTACCGATAAGTGTGATTAACAGAGATGAGGTAAAGTGTTTTTGTTGCTTAGAGGATAGGTGATTTTATGAAAAGGAAATCCGATGAAAAATCTATGGAAATCAAGAAAAGCTAGACTTGAAAACTGGAAAAAAAACATTTCAAATGCAAATACACAAAATCTTATGATTTGGTTTTTTTTAATATTATGACAAAACATGTATTCCAGCCTTTTTGTAAAAGTATTTACGTTGTTCCATGCTAATATATATAAGTTAATGAAATAACACAGTTGATATCGCTTAAAACATATATATATATATATATATATATATATATATCGCACAAATTCACACACTTATTAGTAACGATGATAGATTTGAACATATGGTCTTTTAATCTGCAAAGTCTACAAGGTCTACCAGTCTGGACATCTTTTGAATTCTTTTAGTGTAGAGGCTTCAGGGAATAACTATAAGCTTTCTAATGTTACATTTGAAGTAAGAACAATGCAGGTAAACTACAGTTTATGTTTTTCGTGCATCTAATCATCATTGCAAGGTTGAAAGATAAATTGCCTAGATTAGCCACCTCTTTCTGTATCTATCAATTCAACGGCTCCTGTAGAGCAAGTTATATTGGCAGATGTTCCAGGAATTTGTATATTTGGGCTCATGAGCACCTCCTAGCATGGATAAGCAAAGGTGTATTTAAAACTGTTAACAGCTCCATTTTAGGTAATTTAATTCAGACAGGACATACAGCCAACATGGAGAAGTCTTTCATAATAATATATCGTATTAACTGTAGTCTCCCTGATTCCACCAGGCTGAGAATGTTACAGACGGCTGATGTAATTGCTATTGTGATCAAATAGCCAGAGCTTTGCATCCAAAAGAAATATGTTCAGCCGCTCCTTTTACTCTGGCCAACTTCGGGCCCAATTGGTCAATAATTAATTTTATACGGTGGCGTAATTTGATTAATGTTCATTTTTATGTCCTAAACGTATCCGCACACCCTACCATTGTCATTATTATTATTATTACTACACTGGCTAACCTTTTTGGGAAATTTATTCAGCATCCACCTCTATCTGCTAATTCTTGACTTATTCGTATTATTCTCCAAACTACGTAACTTTCGATTTATAGTTCCACTATTCACTCTCTCATCTCATGTTGATCATATTTATTCTGATCATTCATCTCACAACATCATTTCATCTATAAACTGATTCAAGTCAACACTTCATATTAGTCATCTCAACATCAACGATTTGATTTAGCTTGATTAGCATGTTATAACCTGGCCAATTTGACAGATTATTAATTTGGATATATAATTGTAGAACCTGATGAGAAATTATTGAAGAGAATATTCTCCTTTCATATAATTGTGTTTTAATATAATCGGAATTTTTCAGCGATTATATTTGAAACGTTTAACAGAAAACGACGTACCTTAACGAAGACTAAAATTTAGATAACTTAAACTTGGTTATGAAACCCTAGTAACTAAATCTTTTTCAGTTTACACATTTGAAACAAACTTGACGAATATCTCTAGCTATCAGATGAAGACAAATAGGATGAGCAGATTAGACAATAATCTTTTACATTATCAAAAACTTTTTCAAATAATTGGTTTGACTACTTCGATACTGACTAGTCTAATTACTTAACCCTTTTAGATGACTAACTTATGCTAGTGCCTTGAATACTCATTTAAGATATTATTACGATTCCACAGATATGAATAATAAGTGTCTAGTTAGACATGTATCAAAAGTGTGCCAAACATAATAATAAACGAATCTTATCTCCTTAAAAATCTATTTCACTGTCATTTCACTATATATATATATATATATATATATATATATATATATATATCCAACCTACAAAATCTCATGATTTCTCAAAAAACGGAGTCACACAATAAACTCATTAAAACATATTAACTATATAACCTGTCTGACGAGCACAAAATTTAAGGTCTCTAAAACTTATTTCAAAACATTATGACACATAGATTGTGTGCAATTGAGAATGTTCCCCATTCATTGCATTACACTTGATTGATCTCAGCATACATCGTTCAACATATCCCTTCAAGTCCTTCCGATTCCAGATTTTCGGCTACCTCATGGCTTTTCATTATTCCTGAAACCCTAGTTCCATCAGAATCATCTGCTCAAACGATTTCAACAAATTCAGGTAATCCAAAATTTTGACAGCGAATAAACAACCGGAAAAAACAGAAAGCCATATAAGTAAAATAATTTCATCAACAGAGTAGGTTAACAGTTCTGATCGTCTTGGACGGTTCTTGAACTTTACAGGGCCCTTCCTGAAATGCTTGATACATTCAAAAAGTTGTTTTTTTCGTTTAGTTATGTTCCTCAACGATCCCCAATATTATACGAATTTTCTTTGAATTTTTCCCAATTCCACGGAAATCTCGATCAACTTGGTACAGACTTTTTTCCGACAGATCAAGTAGACATTTTTCGATAAAAATTTTCGAGTAGTCAAAGTGATTAATGTTTGTAAAAAAGTTTGTAGTTGAAATGTTTAGAAGGCAGTAAAGTTACTGACCAAGAGTAAGGCCACAGGAACACTGATCAAGAATTTTTTAAAATTGTTTAAAGCAATATGATGAGTAATGACCAATGGTTTTTCTAACATCTTTGGAATATTAGACTAAATGAGCAGTTGATTATTTAGATTTTAATAAGAAGTTTTGTATTTCAATTAAAGGTCGTAAAATTCTAAAATCTTTAGTTCATAAATCCACTATGAAGGTTTAACGAAGCAATGTTATCTTCCAATAAAGTCGCTTTAACCGAAGTTACTTTATCGGAATATTTTGAGTTTCCAAAGGAAATTTGTAGTAAAGTTCAACTGAATAACATATTGCAACCTCTCTTCATTTATATATCTGTATGTATTTGAATATTTCGTTTGTAATTCAACATTCCATGTTACATGTTTAACATAGTACTGCAACAGTAAAAAAAGAGATACTGGAGCTCATTTTCGAATGTATCTCGTTATGAGTTATCGGATGTTCAGTTTCCAAACAGTAAGAGAATAATGAATTACTGAAACGTAATATGAAAAACTTAAAATATAATCTATCGAACAAAAACTTTATAAAGTCTGAAATTCAGAAATGTCATAACAACCTATTTACAATTTAAATTCAGTAATTTATCAGGATAAATGACATGATATTTAGTATCAATTCTCCCGCTTATTGGTCATTTGAAATGTTATATTATCATTTCACTGATCTAGCTTTTTCCGTTCTGATACCTTTGTAACGAAACTCGACTTTACTGGCTCTTTACTTATATCTTGGAACTTTTTCATATACCAATATATCAATTTTAAAAACGTAGATTTTACTTATAACTAAAGATGTCTTTTGCTTGTCCGTTGAACTATCAATCTTTTATTTGCCATCCAGACAATCGATATGTTTTCTTGATCGTAAATTGGATCGTTTATTAAGATCCACTTGTGTAACTATTAGCGTATTGAAGTGTTATCTTATAAATAGATAAAATGTCGCTACAGAATATTTCTAAACTACTCAACAACGAGTACTCACTCGCTCATTCTTTCGTGTCTAATAAACAAATATTAATCATCTCAGTGAAATATCTGCGAATAATTAGATTTACCATAGAAATTTAAATTTTAGTACAATTCATTTAAAATCAACTATATAATTTATTGAAGTAGTGTTGATAAGCTCTGTGTGCAAACATTTTTTTATACGAATATCTATTGCCTTGTTAGGTTTTCATTATTTTACCTAAAGTTTGCAAAAATTGGTTTTAGTCTCCTCTATCACATATGTTGTCAATGTATTTTATAATTCTAATGTCTTTAATTTCCATTATGTAGTTTCACCCCACTTTCAAACCACGAATAAATACTGTGCGTGTTTTTTCTACTCTTGGAACTTTAAAACTGCTTGTCGTCAACCGGTATTAGTTTCTTCAGACTCCTTATCTTATGGGTTACACTCACACACATCTAAGCTACAGACGCAGTGAATCTAATTCTGTCTGTGCCAGCATATGCAGCCATTTGTTTATGTTTTACTTTGATAACGCTTTAAGTTCCACTTCATAACTATTCTTACTACTTGATATTAGCCAGTTTATTGCGTATCCAATATTCAGCTTATTCCTTTAAGTGATTGTGTTATTTATATGCCTACATATATTCCGACTAGGCGCTTTTGATAAAACAATTATATTTTAAAAGCGTTCAATGAAAAAATAAAGCTTAATTAACTGTGAAACAGCTGTTTTTAAGACATGCCTTGATCAGACTTTTATATTTTTAAAAATGTTTTATAGCATTTCACAGTAATCATGTTACACTGAAAAATGACAAGGTTAATAACTCAATTATGCAAAACTGTCTCTAATAATTCGTCAACTTATGATAAGTGCTAACTGAAATAAGGGTTATCGATTTTAAATTAACTTTTCATGACGTCATTTGATTAAATGATAAATAGAGCTTCATCATTAATTATCAACATGCAATTTTGATAATTTCTTTTTTTTATTTTTATAAAAATATAGCACAATAATGGTGTGGTCCATCGAGATCTAAAGGCAGAGAATGTTTTCATCGTCAATAACATGTATGTTAAACTTGGTGATTTCGGCTTTTCCAAATGTGTGGCTCCAGATGCTGCCTTGACAACGTTTTGTGGCTCTCCGCCATACGCTGCTCCTGAGTTGTTTGTTGCGGATTCTTACACAGGACCAGCTGTGGATCTTTGGGCTCTTGGTGTTCTCATATTTTATATGGTAACCGGAAGTTTACCTTTTAAAGCGGATAGTTTACACAAAATTAAACGTTTAATCTTATCAAATGATTACCGAATCCCGGCCTATGTTTCAGATGATTGTCAAACATTGATCTCAGGATTATTGACGAATTCTGTTGAACGCAGATATACCGTATCTCAGGCGAAAAGTTCCCTATGGTTCAACGATATCGACTGGCAGCATTTAATGAAGCATACAGATCCTACTCCTGATGAAATTGATGATGCATCTGCTAGGTATCTATTGAAAAAATGGTGGGATGTAGACTCTTATGAATTGGACAAAGCATTAAGTGAAGGCCCTAAAAACAAATTAACTGGTATTTATCGTATTCTTCGTAGCAAAGGTTTACAATACAAGAAAGATCCTACCTTACCAGATCAAAAATATAAAAATAAACGTGGTCGAGTTAAACGTAATGGTTCTTGTAGTACCGGTAAAAGTAAACCACGACCAGCTAATGTACCACATAAAGAATTAACAACTGTTGATTTAAGAGATCAAAAATCTATGAAAAACGCTGAAAACTCTACACGAACTTGTAACATTTTGTAAAAAATGTATAATTAATTTTTTATTTTATTTCCACATTCACTCATTCATTGTTTTTTTAACTGTAAAAATTTTATTTCTCTTTGTTGTTTGTTTATATTATTTACTCTATGATTATTTCGGATAGAATACAGGTTAATACTAACTATTATGTAATCTAAAGCATTACATTATATTGAACCTATTTCTCTGATACATTTTTTTTCTTAAAGGTGTTATCAATAATTTTACATTAATTTGGTTTAACTTCACTGATTATTTGTACGATGAAAAATATCGTTTTGATAATAAATAATAATAATAATTCATTATTATATATTAATTTATATCACATGTCTTTCTATTGTTGGTATTATTTGCACTGCCTAATATTATGTTTCTTATTCTTTCTAACTTATTGTTTGTTTGTTTTTACAATCATTATTTTATTTTTTCAAAATTAAAAGAAACTTAATTTTCTATTGTTTTTCAATAAACTTTTTTTTGGTTATCAATATTAGTTTTTGATTGTTATAAACATGTAAATCTATTTCTAGAAGAAGAAAAAAAATTCACTAAATATTTCAATAATAATTAATCATTTCTATTGTTATTATATAAATTAATATTTAATTGTTCAATTTCTATTCAATCATTATTATACACAATACATTCACACGCATACATACATACATTCATGATGTTACATGATGATTGGTTGTGACATAGTGATTATTCTTTGATTGGTTGATACGATTGATAATAAATCGATTGATCAATTTATTGATCGATTAATTGTGTTTTTCTTTTTTTTTTTAATAAATATTATGATTCATTTAGTTAACTGACCTAAACATTAAATTCTTTTGATTGATTAATCATCTATTTGCAATATATCTATACATATATATGTTAGTTTATTTTTGATTTTTTCTTTTTTTTAATTCTTTCTTATGGTTTCACTTTTTTTATGATTATTGTTAGTAGTTGATTTTATTGTATATTTTTTTTAAAAAAAAACAAAAAAATTTCCTCCATTTTCTAATATGTTTCTTTTTTTCTATCAAGTTATTCTATGAATTAAATTTTATAATGAATATATTATTATTTTTTTTACTGATTTTATGTTATTAAAATGACAATACTTATATATATATATATATATATATATATGCTGATGAATCGAAATAGTGAAAGCTTATTCATTTCCTTGATCAATAATTTTCATTCCTCCTTTTAAGATTATCATCGGTAAAAGAAGATGATAATAGACGTAACCATTCAATGAACATGTAAACTTCTTGTATGTAGACTTGAAGATAATATTTTAAGAAGAATAATGATAATGCTGAGTTTATAAATCATTTAAATTATTCTGTATACTTGTATTTGAATAAATTAGTTAGATGAAAGAAAGTATAAGAATTATGTCTATCTCTTTATCATGATGGGAAATGCAAAAAAAGAACAACCTGTTTTTGATTACTTCAATCTCGATTATTGTATTTTCTCTTTTCCTCTTTTTTTTAAATTGATTTATTTTTTTCGTTTTTGGTTTATTTTCTAAATTTCTTATCCTGGTGTTGTTTTATTGTGTATTGTTTAGAGAAAAAAGAAAACAGACTGAAATGAAATCTCATTCCTAATGCTCTTTTTTTTAAAATAAAGTTTTTTGTTTTTATTCATTGTTTATAATTTTTTATCAAATTGAGTTGATTTTTTTCCTACTGAATAGAATAATTGTATTTGATTTTATGTAGAATATATAAATGACAGAATGGAAAAATAAACAATTTTGTTAACCTTTTAAATTGTTCTGATTATCTTTTGAGACATTGTTTGTTCTCCATGTGGGAGAAAATTTATTTCTAGTTAATTTCATTTCCATAGTTGAAATCATGAGTCAATTGAAGCTAGATCACCATGGAAAACCTGGAAGCATTGGACGGCCGTTTCGTCCTATCATGGGATTCCTCAGCAGTGCGCATCCACGATCTAACCTTAAGAGATTTGAACGGACGACCTGCCAGTCTCGAGCCAGAGCACTTAACTGATAGACCACTGAGCCGGCATCAGTTGGTGTTAATGTCTGACTTCAATTGACTCATGATTTCAACTATGAAAATACTGAAATCTCTACAAAATCCCTTCTGATAATTTGATTTCATCACTTTAATGATTCAGCGAAAGATCTTTTAAATTTCTCTTGTAATATTATTTGACATTGTTGATAAACTTGTGCTTTTCAAGAGGAAAGTTAACTAATTGTTAAATCCTCTTAGTCAAGTAAAAATCTGTAGACGTTTAAGACCTAATTTTAGAGATTGATATAATTCTTACTAAGATTACATTTCCGAGTTGATTTTCATATATTTATCACTGTGTACCCAATACTCCTGCTTTAATAAAATGAAATTCCAGTAAACTCTGACCAATACCTTTCAATATTTTAATTGAAAACATTACCACTAACCAGTTGGTTTGTTTATAGTTAGATACATAGTTTTCAAATGACAGTCAGTGGAATGTATTAGTCTTCAAAGTTGGTTTAATATATTTATACTTATGATTTGTAGTAAAACTACAAGAGTAATATGCTGTTGTAAAAACCGATCACTGATGAATAAAGCCGCTCAACACATTGTGTGTCGTTTGTCTCTCCGATGGCATAAACGAAATAATTATATACGGGTTCAGTCTCCATGCGAATTAGTAGAGATTAGGAAACAATACTGAGTGATGTAGGTTCGAAAGCTTGTATAAACAAGTGTTGACATTGTTAAACTGTTCTGGAAAAACACACACGTGTACGAAAATTTTCACACCAGAAAACTCATGCCTAGAGAACTATATGGATAACATAAAGAAAGTATCATATTGAATTCTCTATCAAAAGTGAATTTGACTAAATTTTCTTATTCACATAAACACTGTGAAAAAAATGGAAGTTTGTAAACTCTTTGTTAGAATGCAAGTTGTCTTTGATTGATTAGTTTACCTTTGAACGTTTCTCTGTGGTAAACTGTCTCGCAATATTTCACACTCATTAATAATCATAATTTTGTTACTTTGTATAAAATGAAACTTGAGAAGTGATAACATTCATTGATAGCTCTTATATATATATATATATATATATATATATATATATATATATATATGACTAATGAGATGGCTAGACAAACAAAGCTACATTCTATTTAATATACTCTTGTTTGAGAAGCTTACTGTCCTTATATACTTTACATTCTAAGTACCCTAATCCTTTATTCAACTGAAAATGATATCTTGATTAGGATATATTTTAACCGCAGTGCAGTTTCGTTGAGTAAATAAATGTCCTTCATATTGTCTGACTAACCCTAACAACGATCATAGTACGACATAATGAATTAATATTGTTTTTAACTTTTATTTTTCGAACTCTACTGAATCTAAAGAATGAATCACGTTTAGATCTACAGTTCAAAGGCTTATGTAGATACACTTTTGTGAAAGATTCTATATTTGTTTCTGACTAGATACCTAACAAACCTGAATTATATCGGAATATTTAAAATGAGATATACAAATCCTTAAATATAGAAACCATATGACTTACCTTTCACTTGAATTGTTTTTCCCATCATTGTTTCTTTATTTACTTAACTCTGTTAACATTGAGTGTTCGATGAATCTAGTGTTGATTTAGAAGTAAAAATACAAACTTTAAAGTCGTTATTAACCTGAATAAGCTAACGTTATCACTATTAAATGAAGGAAATTGTTTATAATTATTTGTATGATTACCATCAAAAAACTTCCTCAATGAAATCCGGACTTATTCCTTAATGAGACATTTCGATCTAAATCCAATATGTCTCCGTCATGCCATTTTGCATTTTAAGCCATTCCGAATCACAATTTGACAAATAAGACGTTTACTTTTTCAGAGTGTTGTACCATATAGAGTAATTAATATTCATTATATTGACCAGAATTAAAGCGTTTATTCCACAAATCCGAAATACAATAGTTTCGACACCATTACAACTGAAATGCTTATCGGTTTAAACAGTTCACTGGCTTAATTCACGATTTCTGCTAACACTATTCAAAGGCGTTACTTGCCATTTTTACCTGCTACATCAAATATTCTAGGCGGCACTAGAAATTATTTCAATCATATATATAGCCCAGTGTTCCGAGTAGTCATTCTAGTTGAAAACATTTGCAATCTACTACTCTAATAATCAAAGATATAAAATAACACTTAACGATAATGATTAACTGTACATTGATCTGTGCATCCGTTTAACAGTTCTTCAAACTAACTACAAATAGAAACAAATTCCATGCATAAACACTGAGTCGATTGATTAAAGTAGCTAGCTTCATATTCATCATCATATTGCTTCAAACACGAACGGGTCTCTTTCTTTCAAACAGTTCATCGACACAATAATTAATAAATTTAACAACATATTCTTACTTGCCTCACAACAACCGATCACAATCTAATGCCAAAATCCACATAAATAATTTATAAGGAGAGGAAGGTTAACAGTAAAACATTTCGTTTCCATCTTAACGATTTCCACTAATGATCTGGAGAACCAATTCACAGACTTCAGTGATTTCAGATTGTGTTAATAATCAGTTCAAAGGTACATTATCTCGTCTCCAATGTCATGTTAAGAGCACTGGATCTTCTGACAAGGGATTATGTGAATATACCAATGAGGGTCTCATACTGGGAACAAACAACTCTCCTACAGTCTCACATGTTTAATCGTTGTTTCACTACGTTTAATCCTTGATGTAAACTACAAATGAAGTAGAGATAAACTCAATTTCTACTCGAGTTTTTCAATTTGTTAGTTAGTTTGAAAACAGATTCCGTCACGTATGATGGAGGCCATAGCATTTATTCCTCAGAATTCTCACAATGATAGGCCATTCATCTTTGCTAACTGACTAGCATTTCGGATCATTTCCGAATTAGTGAACCATTAGATCTATGTAAGTCAATCATAGACGAAATTATTATTGAAATGAATGTGTATGAAATCAAGTAGCTGCATTTCATATTGGCGCATCGACATATATATATATATATATATTATATATTTCTATTCAAAATTTATACATTGTTGTTCTCCCTTTTTGACGGAATACCAGCTTGTCTTTATCTTCATTGTTGTCTTGATTATATTTCCTATACAAAGTGTATATTGTATTAGAAAATAGTAAGGAATTTGTTTTTTATCCTCAGCTAGGGGGGTTTTGTGGAGAATTTAATATTTTCATATTTGAAATCATGAGTCAATTGGAGCTAGACCACCATGGAAAACCTGGAAGCACTGGACGGCCGTTTCGTCCTATTATGGGACTCCTCAGCAGTGCGCGTCCACAATCATGCACTCGCGAGATTGGAACCCAGGACCTACCAGTCTCGTGAGCGCGGGATCGTGGATACACACTGCTGAGGAGTCCTATAATAGGACGAAACGGCCGTCCAGTGCTTCCAGGTTTTCCATGGTGGTCTAGCTTCAACTGACTGATGATTTCAAAAATGAATATTTCACTATATACCAATTCTTAATGTTTAGCTCTCACTATAAACCATTGAATCGAATTATTAAATATATATTTTTTTTTATAATCAGTGGTAATAACATGTATGAAATAAATAGTAATAAAGTATATTGATTTTTAAAATTAAGAAATCATTTCTACTTCACTACAATTTTTTTTAATCTACCTGTTTAAACACACAATGTATCCATTTATTTAATAATCAAAATATGTGTATTGAATAAGAAGTAAAATACTTTTCTTTTTTTCAAGCCTACATATTTACAAACATGTATGATTTGATTAAATTGAACATGTGAAGTAACGCTGGTTACAACAAGACATAATGTGAAGTAATGTGTTATAAGCTAATGCGTAGATAATCAAAATAAATTGATATTTTCTACTGAATGTGTATTAGCTCATTCTTATTTCAGTTAGTCTGTTAGCATATAATCTAATGAAAACTCAATTTTTTTGTTTATAAAAAAGTGATAAGAAGTTAAATTTAAACAGTGGGAAATGTTACAATTAAATGTTTTCATATTATATAAACTTACATACTTACTTACGCCTGTTACTCTCAATGGAGCATAGGCAGCCGACCAGCAT